GGAAGAGCTATGGACCCTAGTCCAACATGATCGTGAAACCTTCTGGAGAGATAGGGACTACGTAAGTGTACCATCGCCCGCATGTGTCTACCACTCGAAGTACATCAAGATCAACTGTTTTGAAGATATCATATTTCTTGGAAGTTGGTACTTTGTACCCTTACTACCCTATTGTACTTTATACTGCCGTTCAAACTGTACTGCATCTCCATCATGTACTGCCATTGTAATTACCATTTCCTATGGAGAGAGTGAATCTTGTTTTGCGTAGTAGGTAGCTTTATATCAGCTCAGACGCCGTAGGCCTTAATAATAAAGGACTTTGGGACTATGGAAACAGACCTCAGTAATGATGATAAACAGTCACAACAGTCTGTGTCAGATTCCCGCTTCGGTCATATCTTTTACTTCATGGTATAACGGAGATTTATTGTGACTAAAACTACTACAGTGGTCTGTAGATCTTGCTCATTCTGTGCATGTAATGTTTAGAAATATTTGACACTCCAGTTTCCAGTTTCATAATCAATTAATCAGTCAGATAAGTTCAAATATTATTAACAATAGGTTTTATCGGTTATTGCCGACCATGCTTACGAAAAAGTATATCAGAAATATCCTTCAGATATTATAAAATGTAAGACGCACTTTTACGAAGCTATTTATGTTTACGTGACAAATGACCATGTAATATTCACAACATTAAAGAAACGAAAGATTTCTAACAAATTCTCTCGCAATATAATATCATACCATTTAACGTTGATCGCACTGGACGTAAAAAATAAAAAAGCTTTTAAATTTATATACATAGACTCTTGAAAATCAGTAATGACACCATGTGTTCGTGTAAAGCGTAAGTATGTCTATCCTACCGAGAGCACCCGTCATTCACACAATTGAGTTTGATGGTTTACAGATTTAAACCCGTCAAACAAAGACACACGTTTGCACGTCATTATTCAAACAGACTAATGAGATATCAATGCAAGTGACGTCACTTTATTCAGAATCGTAGTGCTGATTACATTTTATTGATGTCCAGCTGCTTTGGTACCTGCAACAGAAAAGTAAATTGGAGCTGGTAGCAAAACGATGTCAATACACAGAATACATGGATTGTTATCTATTGTGATTAGAACTTGTGAATTATGAATAACGCCTTTGTTAAACAAAAGGTAGTGTCAATGATTTCATCGCTGGAAGGCGTTTTTATTCAAACAAGAATTGGTTACTTCCAAGAGATATATTGAGTGAGTGAGTGGCTTTTAGCAATATTCCAGTAATATCACGCTGGGGGACACCAGAAATGGGCTTCACACATTGTACCCATCTTGGGAATCGAAATTAGGTCTTCGGTGTGATGAGCAGACGCTTTAACCACAAGGCCACCTCACCGCTCCCTCCAGAGATATAGATACATTACACCCTGCACATACCCTCAACAGTATTACTCGCTGTCTGCGAGCGCTTCCTCTGCGTAACTTTCCAGGACGTCCCGTCTGACGTGACCGTCACCTGCACAAATGTGAAACATGGTCATGAATACGAACAGAAAATGTGAAACATGAAATTGTAATTCACATAGACACCTCTAACTTCCTCATTGCGTATTCAATATAATAGTTCTCGGGACATTTATTGTGTTATCTTATTCCTGCTTCTGGGAATGAAAATATCAAGATTTTTCACCATATTCTCACCACACCATGGTCCCTCGTATGGTGGTCTACCTTCAGTTGCTGGCGATCTATAGCCTCCTTTTTGTTTTACTTTTAATTTGTCATGTATACAAGTTTGTTTCATGGTTACTTGCTATGTTCAGATCTTAAGAGAGGGATTTGGCGTCCGGACATTTTGTCAGGACAAATATTAGTATGATACCTACGAACATTTGTACAGTTATTTACCTACCGTTTTCATCTAGCATGTCCAGCAATTCATCAACATCACGTTCATCCATATGCTGCTGTAGTTCGGATCTAGTCAGGACGCCATCGCCGTTCTGATCAACGTCATCTATACTACGGCCAGCAACCAGCCCTGCCACTATATTTAATATGGATACATTAAGTTACCTTTCTAGCTATGATTAAAAAAGATAACAAATAAAAGTTCATTGTGTGCTGGTTTCTAGTGATATCACTATCCCAATAAAATGAATGTGCTTACCAAATATACTGAGTGGAATGTTACGAGGAGTGTCTGAAAGGATGCTAAGCTTACTTGTGATGGCTTTTGGGAGTATACCCAGATCACTTAATTTACCAATCTAACGCTCTCCCACATCACCCAATCAGGGCCCAACTAGCCAAATATCGGTAATCGCTGAACCGAAGTGTCTCCCGGAAGCAGGCTGAGTTCCCAGGTAAGGGTATCCTTCTCCATAATTCCCGAAACAACTTTCAACGTGCTCAACAGACTTTACGCGATTTTGAAAACGCTGAATGTGAGGAATTTTCGACGATGCTTCGGTGAAAGCTCAAAGACGCCGGCAGTACTTTATCAAACGATAATGTACACCTTTTTGGATTACGTCACAATGTATTGGCGTCACTGTGCCATTCTAGTCCGCCCCCTCGTAATAGATCGTGCCCTTGGTAACGTCACGATGCATGTCAGACAAGTCAGTTGTCATCGCCACATACAGCCAGCCTCCTACAGTAAACAACTCCGTAGCACCCCGTTTCTGGGTTTGCAGTTGCTTCACTCGGCTAACATCACTGGTGGAAACATGGCGTTTATATTTTTTGATGGATATAATGTCTCAGTACGACTCACAATTAAACAGTGACACGACAACCTTCGCAATGTTTACATTCCCACAATGTATCTGTGGAATGTCGCTTGAGTAGTCAGCTTCATCTGAATGTACTGATCTAAACTTACGTTGGTAGTAGAAATGCGACGTTCACATTGGCCCATATGGTTTACGTTAATCACAGATTATGTAACAGATTTTAGAGAAGCTATTTGTCAATGCAACGGTACCACAGAGAGAGAGAGAGAGAGAGAGAGACAGAGAGAGAGAGCGAGAGAGAGCGAGAGAGAGAGAGAGACAGACAGACAGACGGACAGACACAAACACATAGACACACACAACCACACACACACACATACATACACACAAACATTCATACTTTCATACATACATACATACATACATACATACATACATACATACATACATACATACATACATACATACATACATACATACATACATAGTTATACATACATACATACATACATAGTTATACATACATACATACATACATACATACATAGTTATACATACATACATACATACATACATACATAGTTATACATACATACATACATACATAGTTATACATACATACATACATACATACATACATACATACATACATAGTTATACATACATACATACATAGTTATACATACATACATACATACATACATACATACATACATACATACATACATCCTATTGTTAGTACCTGCAGCTCCTATTATTTGTCCCTTGTGTTTTCTCCATTGGTTGCCTGCCCATCTCTTTAGCCGTCTCCACCACCCGCCTGACACGTCCGTCACAGTAAGCGCCACAATAACAACCAGTAGCAGAAAACGCATCTGAAATTGTACATAGAAAATGAAAGCGTGTTTTGCAATTCGGGGGCTGTCTTTTCTGTTCTTGTATTTAATTTAACTATTTCATACTTCCAACTCTCAATAATCAGTTTCGAAGTAGGGCCCGTACTTCTCGAGAGGCGTTACTCCCCGTATCAGATTTCCGGTGACAAGCGTATATTAAGAGAACAGTTCTGGTTCCTAATCGCGAAATGTGTCTTTACTCGACCGGACCTTCTGTACAACCATGCTTGGCTATCAAAGCTGTTGACAGTCGTAATATATGGCTAATTTGGGGATGGTTAGGTCAGACATGTGTTATTCCCGCAAAGGCCATCGGCTCCTTACTGTCAACCGATAACCATGAGACCATTCGAAAAGATATGAAATGTTGTTTGTCACCGGAAGTACTAAACAACATAAGGTCTCGCGAAGTGCCGTGACCTACTTACAGGCCGTTACCACAAAGGTGGCCAACTGCCAATGTTTAATCGTGGTATCAAGGATTCTAATTAAAAGCAGCCACAAACATACAGACACTTACACTCTTCACAGATGTTCAATTGATTATCGTTCTTTATCTGGTGGACATGATCATAATGACCATCTATTTTTCTGATTATTTCTGAAGTTTGCCAACAATCGAAGTTGTTTTAAAAGCACCAACAACATATGTGTCACTATTACTGGTATGCTATCAGGTACTGGCGGACAAAAGTAATAACATCTATCATCTAATGGAGGGTGTTATCGGTGCAATAAAGCAATCTGATGAACTTTGTATCCAAATCTGATAACTATGCAAATTACGTCAATCCAAGAACTACTTTCACAAAACTCCACACACCCCATGCGAATCTTGAAACGTTAACATTTCATTGATGACATCATCGCGAGTTTTCATTGCGTGGACGAGTTGGTAAACAAACAGGGCTACCCCAATTCCCAAAATTGGTGATTCTGTAAGAATTGATGACAGATGTTCCGGAGTCATTACTGCAGTAATTGACTTTGGAAAACACGAGACGGAGTACTTCGTTCAAATTGAAGGCACGGATTATGAGGCACGAGTGAAAGGCGATCGTCTAAGAAAGGTACAAACCAAGGATTTCGATCTATCGATGACAATGCAAACTACGAATCGATTCCGTAAGGTATCAGAAACAGATATTGATTATCCGCAATGAAAATAGAAACACTGCCAAGAAAACCCTGCCCGAATTTGTTGTTCTTTTTAGACAGAAAGATCTTATTTTAAGCATGGGTTATGTTTGCACTGTATTAGCGACTAGTCAGAACCATATGCCGCCGTCATGAACGACCTTCACCTTGGTTTACCGATACGTATTCTTACGCAATGCTCGATTCTATTCATATAAATTCACGTACGATTTGCTTCTATTTTTTAGAGTAAGTTTAAGAATAACATTATCTGATAAAGAGATTATTAACCTCGTGTTCCCAAAGGCTCGCATAATACAATTTGTATTATTAATATATGATATTAATGATACGGAAACACACATGATACGGTTAATAATCTCTATGTATATTGCACAATGAATTCCTCACGGTATGACTGAATCAAAACGATTTTGATCCACTCGTGTTATTCAACAGTTGTACGTTGACGAGAAGCAATAAGAAAGGTCACTTCTATGAAATGGTCTGTGGTTATTTCAACAACGACATTTTCAGTTTAAAAAGATGACGCGAGACTGCCTCCAGGGCAAAACAATTAAACATATACAATGTTTTACCTGGAAATATGTTGCTGAAATAATAAAGTTTTCTTACCTTGCCGGATAGGAGATGATGTTCCAACTGAGCAAAGTTTGTCATTCTTATATAGACGGGAAGTTGTGAAAATATTGATGTACATTAAGTAACATATGTATCGCAATAATTACAACAAACATATACACTGTGTATAGTTCTGAAGGTGCCAAAAGGTTTCACTCGTCTATGATTACCAGTTTACACTTCACGATAAACGTTATGCATCTGTTGGTACAGGGACACGCCCAGGTGGATCAACGTGGATTGTAAGCCTTCTGTCAACAATAACCTATTGTCAAAGCTCCACACCAATTCGTTAACAGTACAGGCCGTAAGGAAAGATTTCGTAGTGACGTGCTCTTCGTCGTGGTACCTGCGTTGTCTCAGCAGGTTGTTATGTTGTTGTTGTTTTTTGTAACTGCCAATGATGAGAATGTAGGTTCAGAGTATCATTTCTCTTATTTGCACATTTCAAATTCAGGAACATTTTTCACATTTCTGATTTGGCCAAATATCAATATTGAAACTCTGCAATTTTATTGCAACAGAACATGTTGGCGGTGGTTGATAGGTAGCCAACAACTAAGAAAGATGACAGGGACATGAAGTTAAAATGTGACCGTTTGAGATGGACATTATGAACAATGGGCAATGCCTCGACAGTTGGTCATAAATTCGTTTAAACCGCGTGGCATGGTCAGAATCAGACACCTATCGACATTTCTATGGAAGAATATGGACATAGAATATATACATGAAAGATATTTGAGTTTATGCAATTCAAGAGGTTGGTGTACAGTGTGATGACATTACTGATAGTTGTTGTGATTATATACCATTAAAAAGAAGTAAAGGATATTCCATTTTGCGAGCATACAACTAGCCAATGTCAATGCATATGAGATTATATCAATACAGATTAAACATTTCCAAAGGAATGGAATAAATTGTCACATTTTCCCTTTATTTCTCTTCATCATCTGTCTCCTCTTGGCTTCATGTGCATTTTATGAATCTTGTAAATCAAATATCCCCTACTTTTTGGGATGGTATAAGTAATGGCTATGAAGCGAGATGGACAAAAGATAGGGAAGGGTTATTCTTGATTGGCGTGTTCTTGATTAGATGATGGTAAGCTGGGATAATATTATCTTGATCTGTGTGGTGTTGATTGCCTTTAAGAGTTTTCTTATCTTGTAAGTTTGACCGGTATGTTTCAAGAAAGTTGTTCCAAAGGATGGTATGATTCGGATGGGCTTGGGTGTGGTCGGAAATGGCTGAATTGGAGGTTTGGAGTCACCGCTTTCGCAATGAATGTGCTTAAAGAAGGGTAGAGGGCTTACGCGTAACTGTGGAAAATGTAACATGATGCAGAGCTATGTGGCGACTTATCACAATCTATTATCTGGGTGTTAAATATTTTGTAAAATTCTATGGCAGTCAAAATGATTCTTCTGAACCTAAACCCCCATCCCCCCCCCTTCTCCGGCTTTGTAAGTTCTAAGTAATAAACTCCGATCTAGTCTGTCGCACAGAACCAAATTATTTTTCCTACAGCCTAGCCCTCGCTGAAGCCTCAAATGATGCAAGTCTAGATTTCCCCAGGTTCAGAATCTCTGGTCTCGCTTGGGCTCCTTGTCAATCCAAATGGATTCATTTGGTACAATCAGAATTTAATATATACACTCAGAGACAATGCGAATACATTGATGAGGTAGTATATACCTACATTTGATTTCGTGTTAGATCTGTGACTGGATGACTGATTTAATGATTAGCCCTAAACTGCGCGTCAAATATTGAAATGTACATATGTCTCCATAATGTTCACACAGTTTTATTTGAGTAGCATTACCAGTCGGTTCCGTACGGTCCTGAAACTAAATGGAGGTAAGGAATGAATGGTCCGAGCAGTCAAACTGGTAGTCTGGAATCGATTCCTTAGATGGGTCAGCCGAAAGTGGCTGTTTTGCTGACGTGACGTCACGCATGGAGGCAATTCTCTCGAGTTCCCATTATGCTGAAAACGTCTCCACAGAGATCAGATCGTGTTTCGATGGACACCAATGGACTCCAGTATAACCACGGCGCGATGACGTACGCACAGTGCTTAGCTACGTGTTTATTTAGGGTTACATTTATAACTTTTGAAATAACTTTTATTTCAAATTTATGTTATGCACAGTTTGCATTTGTATATACACAGACTGGAAATATAATTTAGTTTGGATGAATAAGGAAATACACTCAAGCCAAACATCTTAACAAGCGCAATAAAATCAGATTTTAACTTCTTAATTTATCTTTTGTGAAAAGATCTGGGAACAAATCCATAAAAGATTACCTCAGTCAAAGTTAAGAAAGCATGGGATGTTACCTTTCCAAAGAAAAACAGATTCATTTCTCTTGAAATTCCGATGATTGCAACAGAAATCTCTACATATCAGAAATACATCCCCCTACAGTATAACTTTATAGGTGTATATGTCATGGAGCATACATGATATATTCACGGTTACGTAAATATTGGAGTGTTTTGTTTGTTTTTGTTTTGTTGTGTATATTTCTATTCTCCTTGTGTTTTTGGTTCATTATTATATTTATTTGTTTTAAGTTCAAGTTCCCTTGTTTCCTTTTCTAGTTACAGGGTCAGTGTGAGGTAGCTTGGTGGTTAAAGCGTTCGCTCGTCACGCGAAGACCTGGGTTCCATTCCCCACATGGGTACAATGTGTGAAGCCCATTTCTGTTGTGCCCCGCTGCGATATTGCTGGAATTTAAAACTAAACTCAGTCACTCACTCTTTTTCTAGTTACAGAAACCAGATACAGTTACAGTGACCTCGTCAGCTGCTACTTTCAAACTTCAACACCTTTTACTACGTGTGCATCAGGACCCACATCATCCGTGAATACCTGTTGATTGGAAAAGATTTTGACAGACCAGAAGATAGACCCATATCCACAATGGATCATTTGGATTTACAGACTGTGTATCGTGAAATAAAGAGAATCTTGAAGTATGAATTTCATCAAGGACTTCCACAAGGACTGGAAAAGGACTCTTTTTAAAACCCAAACATAAAGACTCTCATCGTTTTGGATGATCTGATGTCAACTGCCACCAAGGACTCCGATCTGTTTACAGAAGGTTCACACCACAGAAATCTGTCATTGACATCAACCAGAATTTGTACAACAGTAAGGAGCCGACAAAAAGACGCAACTGTCATTATCTGATTATTTTTAACAATCATGTTGATAAGTCTTCCGTGATGACGTTAGCGAGGCAAATATATCCTGGTAACACAGACCAGTCCATGGAAAATACGAGGAAGCAACTACTGAACCTTATAGAGACCTTGAAGCCACTCACTCACAGATACTCTCTAATGGGCTAGCACATGGTCAAGGCCTATAACTAGCTTTGGTGAACAAGCACAGATTCCTATAAATAGAGATTCAGACCAAGAAGATTTCCATTCTTGCCTAGGCTTTGGAAGTGCGCAGACGTGTGACGAAGAGCTTTCTGAGATGCCATCTTGTGATGAATGTGGACTCATGTCAAGACTTCTAAAGACGATCAATATTTCATCTTCAAACAGTCATTCGAGATAATGGCGGAAAAACTACAGGATTTTGCCAACAGTTATAATGAGACCTACCATATAACCATTGGTATGCCACCCTCAAAAATTACCAAAGGCAAAGAAACCACTATTTAGTGGCTCGTGTATTGGCCCAAGCAAGGTGTCGTGAAGAAAACCGCTTGAGAACCTTTGAGATCCAAGGTGGGAGATCGACATTAAACTGACATGTCTCGGAAATGTATTTACGAGAGAATATCATGAAATATAATGGACTGGGGAAATTTTCACCATTTATCAGAGTATCTTGAGAGGCAGACTACCGATGTATAGAGTCAAGGACTATGACGATGACGAAATCCAGGGCACTTTCTACCAGTCCGAATTACAGAAAGCAGATGTCAGAGAAAACAACACCTGGAAGGTGAGAAGTTTTGAAGACCAGAGGAAAAGGCCCTAACAAACAATATTTTGTTATCTGGTTACACTGGCCAAAGAAGTTCATGGGTTAAAGCCAGCAGTGTAGAGAGGTTGTTGAAAGGGTGGTTTGGGACGGCTCTCCAACCTATGTCCTTTGTGCATGCACGGGGATATTAAAAATTGTTAATATTACTAAGAAAGTAATATATAAATATTTGTTGCATTGTTCATAGAAGTTGTATATTGTCGTTATTCCTATTCGCTGGTGCCATTACACAAACGGACGACTTGGGGTTCATTTTAACATTGCCCAGGCCCACGCTATCTTGGTGAACTATGACGTAGTTTCACGCATGCATGTGCGCGAGGGGGATTCCCCTCCTGACGTCAGCCTATTCATCGTCGGTGAGGGAACATGATGAGGAAACATTTCGCCCATTGGAATTAAGCTTTTTAAGCTTGAGGCAAGTGTGCCAGCATGCCCAATTACACAACTACGGATACAATCCCCTGATGATCGTGTAAAGGAGTGCAACAGAGACCATTAGAAGGAAGGTAGTCTCATAAAAAATACATTGAAGTTTATACTGACAGTGCAAAATATGAACGAACACGTAAAATGAAAACTGTTGATACTAATGGATGGTGATATATCAGCTACTATGCTGCACATCGGCTATTACAAGATAAATATGTCTCCATAAACACCACGGGGTACTGTTTGCTGACAGTTGCTGTTGTGTGACAAGAATCTGTACATGACTGCACCACACGTCCACAGCGGTTCTGAAGGTGCTAAAAGCACGCAAGTGTATATTTTGCATTGAACCTGTCAATCCTGGGGATTACGCAATGTCATCAATTTGCACACAGTTCACCGTGTACGTATAATTACTCATGAGTGAGTCTCATATACCTCTTAAGCTTTTATATAACTTTTTAAACCCAATTACTAATGTATACATATTTATTGCATATTTCATGTGTACCATTTTACCTTTATAGTCTCTCGTAATGCAGTAAAGGGTGGCTCATTATATGTATTCTATCATGTGACTTGTATATATTGTATTAGTATGAGGCGAGACTTACTGTCTGTTTGGGTCAAAATGATACCGATGAATCACAATCTAACTCCAAATCGGTTCATGATCAAATATTCATTTCAACGCGGAATGTAATAAAAACATCAGATCAACTCTGGAAAACGTTTGTCTCGAAAATAGAAATGTTACTTAACAAACTATCATCATTTTGTTTTGATTTTCCGTGTGAAGTTTTACGAGGGTAGAGCAACAGTACACCCAAACAGACTTTAATAAAATATCAGTCTGTATGTCTGTCCGTTTGTCAAAGTGTCACATACAAATTAAAACTGACTGCACACTAATTTTCATTTGAAAGCCAGACAAAATGAAAAAGCTTCGCAAGTAAAAATTAGAAACAAATATGAGCGAAAGTCAAAAGAATGAAATTTTATTCCTGGTGAAAAAGTGTTAGTGTTATTTTCCATTCCTGGTCAACCATTGAGAGCTAGGCATCAGGGTCCTTATCTTGTTGACAAAAAGGTTAGCGACACCCGCCTAGTCGTCCTTACTCATGGCTGTCGTAAGCAAAAGAGGTTGTATCATGTAAACATGATTAAGAAATACCATGACAGGGTAGAAACCAAACAGGTCAATTGTATTGCCACACTCTCCCCCGTTACTGGTTGTACTGAAGACAATGGTGAACATGTTGACAATATTGATGATGGGGTTAGCAATGTGAAATCTGAAAACCTTAGTGATAATGCTTCACAAAAGTTAAGAAATTCTGATGTGTTGGCTCACCTTGATGAGAAATTATCACACTTGGTCGATTCCAACACAAGGTGTACACAGTTGGGTACAAGGTGTCCAAAATAGAATTGCTTGCACCTTGTAATTCTTTTTACCAATGTAAAATCAACATATTTGCCTCTTATGAAAATCAGTTGCCATCACTAATCTCTAAAAGTGACAAGTTGGTGGATCAGTGAAGTTGAAGGCTCATTTTCTAAATTACCTACAAATACCAAAATCATACCTTGTTTAGCCTGTGATTAGATGGGTTATATGTTGCCTAACATCCAAATTCACTGTTGTTCTGCATGCACAATATGTTAATGACCATAGAAACTCTAAAGCCATATCATGGTTTCTTTTATGTTTTATAACTTCAAGCTTTACGAAAATAGAACCATTTTGGTACCTTTGTTTGATGTAAGTGAGATAGCACCACTTAGTGTTCTTTTCACAAACAAATCATTATTACATCTCTATTTTATTCATCTGACAGACAACGGGTGGAACTTTCGGTAAGTACAACAAATTTGAAAATGCATCAATAACTAAATTTTGGGTGGAAGATAAAAGAAATATACTTGTAGGTAACAAATATCATGTAATTCCTTGTATTTCATAAATGTTTATATATGTCAAACTAAATCGTAGCTGGTTTATTAAAACATCGAACAGTTTGGAAATAGTTTTCTAAATGCATAGGACATGTGAATGATGATTGTTTACAACCAGTTTAAGGCTTTCTCTTTGTATTGTCTCAGTGTATATGTCTGAAAGTAGCAATGTCATTTTAACTGATGGAAATATACTTTTCATCAAAGTTTAGACTCACTAGAAACACTCACCATATGTTATGTGTGTGTGTGTGTATATATATATATATATATATATATATATATATATATATATATATATATATATATATATATATATATATATATATACAATTGATAGTGTTCTCGGTAGGATAAAGCCAACGGATATTATCGGTATCCGTTGGGGTCATATACGGATATCGATGCAAATTAGAGAGGTCATATGCAATTTTAGGGACTACTTTCACAATGTAAACAAACATGTCGTCAAGGGTCGGCGGCCGTGTCCGGATTAATGGCCGTGGTTACGGTACTGTCAGTGCTTTGATGGAGTAGATTACAAAGCGAGATAGATATTCATAGGCTTACGAAGATACCAACATCAGTTCCCCGACCGACTGTCAGTGTTAGCGAGAGAACGGTGCACAATGTCACGATAACATTAAAGCGTATTTGGTTGTTCAAAAGGTTAATTGAAGGTTTCTGGAGTTCCACGTGAGTTTGTTGTTATATTTGTAAACGTAAGCTAAGATTTGTTGACAACAATACGTGCTTTAGCATAAAAACTTACTGGGACCTAGATGACCGCTGAGTGATCAGGAGAAAATTATGTCACCGGGCCTGTGACGTAACGTATATTTTTTTCTTGTAATTCGGGAAGATGGATCGGAAATGCTGAATATTCCTACATGATACATAGTGCCATCCCCTGCCCCAAATTATTGATTTGTTTTCAACAGTTGCACTTGATCGCGACTATGAAATGGTCTGTGATTATTTCAACAACGACATTCCACGTTTGAAAAAATGAAGCAGGACTGCCTTCAGTCTTTAAGTATTAAAATGACAGGGCAAAAATAAAATTAAGCAATAAACAATGCAAATATCTTTTTGAAATAACCAGTTATCAGAAAAAATATTACAATACATGTACGTATCGTTTGAAAAACGTATTGCGGTATACCAGTAATACCGTACAGTCCTCGTGGTAAGTATAATGTATATTCCAACTAAAAGCCAATATCAATTTATTGATAACCCCAAATCAATATACTTTCTTCGAACCGATTTTATCTGGGTTTTCTTGTTGGTTGCGGTAAACGAAAACATCTATTACAGATGGAATCTTTCAAAATGCTGAAACATTTCTCATCAACGAAGATTTCCTGAAATCGTCACATTGAAAAATATTTCTTATTTGTATTGATCAAAGGCAAAAGTAACGATGTTCTTATATAGTCTTCGTAAATATTACTGATAATAATTACGTTGGTATGGATAAAACATATAAATATATTTTGTGTAATCTGATTTGATCAATCGACTGTTCACACACAAATATAGGAGCAAGAAGGATTACGGTCGCTTGCTGCGGTTGTGAGCTCAAAGTGTTTTCCCTTCACAAACCGCTTTAATCTCCTTTGATTACAGACACTAACTATATGTAACTTGAATCATAGGTTTCTTACAGCACCAGCTTTCGGTTGGATGTCTTGTTTATTTCTGTTGTATCTGTTGATACTGATTCTTGAGTTAAACCCAGTGTACGTAATGCACCAGCTGACCTCTGTAATCGCCATTTGTTTCACATATGCGCTTATACATACTGTCACTCCAGCTGTGAACCAGTCACCCATTTAAGCAAATCCACGGCAAATCTCACTGGGCGGTGGTTAACTGCATGCTGCACGGCCAGCTCTGGCCAGGCTTAGAGATAAGGGTCAGTTAGGCAATATAAATACTTACTTGTAAGTAATTCTTCGATAATGGTACAGTCGTCCTTGGTTACACCAATAGACGGCTGACATATAGAATACATTGGATTTGGTATTCAGTATTTCTCCTTCCGCTAAGTAAGAAACCATTTTACTTTACATGTTATCTAGTGGTTAAAGCTTACGCTCCTCACGCCGAAGATCCGGGTTCGATTCCCCACAATGGTACAATGTGTGAAGCCCATTTCCGGTGTCCCCCGCCGGGATATTGCTGGAATATTACTAAAAGCGGCGTAAAACTAAACTCACTCACGCGAGAAGAGTATGCATGTCTTGCCGTACTGGTAGCACCCGTCATTCACAAATTTTGCCTAAAATGGAATCATTTTGTGCCTGACACCAGTCCTCCTCCCAGAGTGAGTTGTTTAGGGGATGATGTTCTAACTGAGCCAAGTTTGTCATTCTTATATAGACGGGAAGTTGTGAAAATATTGATTTACGTAAGGTAACATCTGTATAAGAAAATATTTAAACTAACACATCCACTGTGTATCACAATAGGATCGTGATATGAATCACCCACCAGTTCTGAAGGTGCCAAAAGCTTTCACTCCACGTTTTTAATAGGTCCACACTTCTTCATGAACGTTAAGCACCATCCATTGACACTTGAACACGCAAACTGTATTGCAGCCTTCTACAAACAACAGCTCATTGCACCGGTTCTGTTAAAAAAGAAAGACGGTTGTAGGAAAGATTTCGTAATGACGTGCTTTTCGAAGTGGTATCTCCGTTGTAAGCGCAGGTTGTTCTAGTTCGTTACTACCAATTGAGAGAATGTAACTGAAACATATTTAGACCATCTTTTTCCTTGTCTGCAAATTTCAAGTTCAGGAACATTTTTCTCATTTCTGATTTGGCCAAACGTGAATAAGCAATATCAAAATCGAAACTCTGATTCTTACTATTTGGGACCCATCTATTGGCATCAATAACGTAATTATATGGGAAATATAAAAGAATCCAATTCTATATATATTGAATTAAAAAAGACGAATAATTCTTGAAATCAGCCATTTTTTAATAATTAGATTAAACCTCTTGCAAGAACCTAACAAAATTCTAATAATACCAGTTTCGAAAGCTCGAAATTAATATCCTCACCAAACAAAATTAAAGAAAAGTTTCGAAAATATAAGATGTTACGGAAATTCAAATAGGTAACGAGTGATGGCAATGAATGGATAAAGAAAGTAAGGACTAAGTGTGACACAAAAATCACAACAGAACATGCTGCCGGTTGTTTATAGATTGCCACCAACAAAGAAAGGTGACAGCATATCCACCAACTCTCACACATAAATTTGGTTTGAGACTTACACTTTTATTACATATGTCACGTTCTCAAGACAAAACTTATAAATCGCACGCCAAACTGGGTTCATATGAAAAATAAAAATGAACATCCGTTAAAAACCACAATATATCGTTTTCAGTGACTTTTCTGAGAAGGGAATATACACCCATGCGGCTTCTTGGACCACGGCTTCTCAAGCTTCCTTTCTCTCTTGGGGTTGGAAACTCTGTGACACGGGCAAACAAAGGATTACCATTTGAGATAACATAATCAACAATGAGAAATGATTCCACAATTGGACATAAATTTGTTTAAACTAAGTGGCGTGGTCTGAATCAGTCAACTATAGACATTTCTAAGGAAGCCTTATCAACTTTTCTTTCAGCGTCTTCACCAGCTCCGCTAACGTAGCGGTAGCTTTGGCGTCTTTGTACACGTTTTCCGATCAAGTCCCAAGCACACTCACTGAGGAAAAAGGGGCAGTTGGGTGGCCTAGAGATTAATGATCCATTCGCTCGTCATGCTAACGATCCCGGTTCGATCTCCACTTCTGTACAATGTATAAAGCCCATTTCCGGTGTCCCCCGACGTGATATTTCTGAACAATTGCGGCGTAAAACCATACTCACTCACTCAGAAGAGTAGTTGACGTAACGCCCCAACACTTCCAACATATTTGGCAACAGGACAATAGACTGATTTTACAACCTCTGTGTAAGATCACCACTTCGCTGTGTGTCATTTATCACCCTTAAGCTCTCCACCCTTGCTTTACGTCTCTACATTTTGTTTCCCCAATACATAACGATCGTTTGCAGTGTGCACCTTTTCCCCCCAGTGGGTGAATTTAGTTTTATCAATTCTCCTGCAATATGACGGTGGGGACACCACAAATGGACTTCACACACTGTACCCATGTGTAGAATCGAACCCGGGTCTTCGAACGGACACTTTGATTATAGGCTTCCCCACCGCCCCTAATCAATCTTCTGAAGACCGATCTTAACATTTTTTCCTCTCGTACTTTCACTGGAGTACTTTCTACGATCCATCATATATTTCGTATCAGTAAATACCTACATCTGATTGCATGTTAGACCTGCGACTGGATGAGTTACTAACTAGAAATTATCCAACCTCAGCAATATTTCAGCCAATACCAGGAAGCACAACCATAATTGATACAAATCAGTGTCTATACTGCGCATCAAAATATAAATGCACAGATGTCTCCATAATGTTCACACAGTTTCATTTCTGATAATGACTTGGTGGTCATTTCGGACTGCAAGCACGACGGCAAATACCTGCTGTCGTATGATAGGAATCACATCATTGTTGCATCACACCCAGAGAACCGGTTGGAGGTGCGAAAAGCTTTACTCGTCACTGAATATTTTTCTCTCCTCCCATCAATCCTGGATATGACAGGTTTTTGTATTATTTCTACGGTTCTTTTTTAACGTTACACATCAAACAGGACACAAGTTCAAATGGATACTCAAACCCCAATTCACTCTTCAATTTTCTTCTTTTTTCCCCCTCATATTTGTAATTCAGTAGCCTGCTTCGAGGGAGATGGATCGTGAATGCTAAATATTTCTAAATACTACATAGTGCCATCCCCT